CCTAAGGGTGGCTCCTGGCCCATCGTGTGTCAACTAATGTCAACTGTATTTTGCTTGTATCCATGGCAAAGGATATTTTTAACATTTACTTAAGGTTGTATACAAAAATTACCAGGTATGAACAATGGATTATATTTTATTAGTTTTTACTTCTGTGAATTGGAAATCTATTCTAAATCTATCTATTTACTTACCTACCTACATATAGAGTGGTATAACAATTGTATTTGTGTTTTGGGGAGAGAATTTGAGAACCATGCAAAACCTAATTTCGTGTTTCCACAGCACTGCAAATCAAATATACAATAACATGTTAACTTATACAGACTGAGCAAATATTCCATCAGAGTCTGAAAGGTTTGAATAGACATACCTGAACATTATTGAATTCTGTACCAAAAAAAAAAAAAAACCCACTACTCGAATACCCCCTGGAATTGTTAATAAATAAGACCGTTCACTTTGGTTCTTCTATTTTCTTTTGTAGCATGCCTTAAAAGCAATTACTATTTCATTACTGTTCACACAAGAGAAAAATTACCAGCTTGTAATTTAGAGGCAAGTGGAATAGACAGAAGAAAATGGAGTCACCCACATAGTTTCCAAAAAGAACCAGACAACGGCATAAATGTTTAAAAGACACACATTCATTGTTCCAAACAATAATCCAGACACATCTTCATGTCTACTGGTATTCATGACAAAGAATAGTCAGTGAAAAGTAAGGGGGCAAATGATGGAAAAAGACAATTGGAAGAGGCAAGACAGAATGTCTTTTAAAGCTGAGTTATTATTTCTGGTCCATTAAATTATCAAAATCCAAATGAAAACTGCTGATCTCCAAAGAACCCTGTCAAAGACTAGCCATAACTCAAGGCCTATCCACAGGGAGACTAAAGAAAATCTATAGATTTAACATCAATAGCCTAAGAAAATTGGCTGTAGCTTTATGACCATATTTTTCCCAAAATGCTCACATTTTATCAGACCTAAGGCATGACTATTAATATGCTTTTAGATAGGGAGAAATAAAACACAAGGAACACATTTCAGGTAAAATAATGGAATCTTCTGGGTTTCTTCACTTTGAAAAGATAATTACCCTACACTAAGTATCAGGGTAAAAAAAAAACACGGTAGATCTTTTGTCTCCTTGCAGGAAACATACAGAATTTACTATTGGGGGTGGAGGGTGGGGTGGTTAAAATTGTGAATTTCAATATTCTTTGTATCATAGCTCTAATAAGCTGCCTGTAAAGGGGGGAGCTTATAAATGTTTCAGAAAAGGAGCAAGACAGAATTAAGCCTCAACTCCTCCACCTTCCTAGCACACAAATAACTTAACAGCACCCAACAAAAAATCCAAACAAAGGGCCTGTTCAGCTCACGGCTGTCAGAACATCTTCAAGATGCAGTCTCATTAACGGAGTCCTTTCATGAGCTCCTTAAATGTCTCCAGTTGGCCTGTCTTCCAGTCTTTCCTCATTAAATTTAAAGTTAAAAATTTTAAAGTTTTTGTTCTTGCTTGGAAAGTGCTATTTTTTAACCTTTCAATTTAATGGACTTGCAAAGGTGAAAGCAACTTCACCTGAAAAGCATCAGCTTTAAACTCAGGAAAACTTGGAAGGTTTTCCAGTAAGGAACAGAAATCTGATCAATAGCTTATTGGAAATATGACTGGATATAGAGTCACATTTATCTGCGGTAGTTGCTTTTATGAAAGCAGTTTAAATCCTTTGCAAATAAGCTTTTCCAGAGAGCTCCATCCATAGGGTGCACAGGCAGATGGACTACCTGTGGTCCAGAATTCAAACCCCCATCAATGCCACAGGAAGAGCAGTTGTTGAAATACTGGAAACCTGAAAACACACACACCTGACCACTGTTCTCTCCAATGGCCAGCACAGTTTCTGTGGTTGCAACCCACACTAGCTTTCATTTGCAAATGAATTTGGCTGTTAAGGTAGGATTCATTCAATGCAAATCTTTCTTTCCAGGTGGCACAGCTCAGTTGAAAGGGTAGGCTGAAAATGAGTTAGCTGTATGGGAGAAGCAAACACCATGCCAGTTACCACGGAGAAATAATTGAACACGGATTGCCTGTTGCGCCTTTAATTTAATTTGGAGACCTTTCATCTTTTACTTTCCTTCATTTGCAGCCAATGCTTAGTGAGCTAATTTGTACCTGGTTCATTTTCTTCCTTCTATCTTATCTGCGTTTACATCAACCATGGAAATTAGAAGCACTATGAATAAAAGATGAAGCCTGACTTGGGACATTCTTTCCTTAAGCACTGTGAATTACTTAAAAACTAATTTGCGTGTGTGCACATACACAGTGCTGAGATATAGACCTCCGCCCTACAGCATCCTTGATCAGCATTTTCCCTCCCCCCCAAGGGCGCTTCAGTGTCTAGCTGTTTTATCTAGTCCTATCTTTTTTTCTAAGAGAGCCCTGTCTACTCTGTAATCCACATGGAATCAATCCTAGAACTGGTTTAAAGTAGGCCATCCCATTAATTCACAAAACTAAGGATGCATAAATTCCACTAATCTGACTTTTTAGAGAATCAATACTGCTTGCCATGTGAGGAAAATAATGTGTTGTAAAAAGAAAAACTGAACGTATTGGCATATATGCATGGTGAACAGACACCTACTCTGTCCAAATGCATCTTGTGGGAGGGAGAAGGGATGGTGGTGGACAAAGGGACTAGTCATAAAATTACTGTCTTGGAGGGACCTCTAGGAGCTATAGAATTTAAATTCTAAGTGTGTCTAGGGTGGTAAAGGCCTGGGATGGGGGAGGGGCAGGATAGAAGGGGTCAATAGGGGGGAAAAGGGGACATATGCAATACTTTCAACAATAAAGAGAAAAAAATTCTGTGTGTGGTGCATATTGTGTTTTTAAAAAAGTTGCTTCTGTTGTGTATTTTTGTATACTTGGCACCTCTCCACAAAAAAGAGCTGCACATGCTCTTAATTTTATTCTCATTACTCCATAAAGTTTTGCTTTTTTCCTTTATAGTTTCCTCTGGCCAATACTATTTTTTTTTCTCCTCACCCTCTCCTTTCTTATATTGTCTCTCTTCCCGCCTCCCGCATGGACCACTAGGGGAAAAAAACCTACTGTATTCTCCTCTTGCTGCTTAGTAGCCACCACCAACAAGCCTTCCTTTCAGTTTGGGAAGCATCAAAGGAAGACTGTTCTGAATGTCTCACCGCCTGTGTTGCCAACTCTCGCCCTCATCTAACACCACACACGATAGGCTAGCAGCTGGGAATAAACTGAAAATCATTCCCCCTTCACAGCCCAGCCCCCTAGAGGGGTAATTAATAATGATGTGCATTACTTTACACACACAAGACCACAGTTTCACAGGTAAGGCAACTTCCCAGTTGCAGGAGAAAAGTGGGTTGAAAATTGTCGTGTACTGACATGTAAAGGTCTGTGCTTCAGAATACAAACCATATCTTTTGTGGGAGAGAGTATGCAAGCAGAATAAAAATAAAAGCCCAATTTTTAAAAAATCAGATGATATCTGTAATCTTGGTTATAACGACTATACCACACATTTATTTCTTCTGTAGAAACATGGACAGAAAAGCCCTACCTCCTGAAAGGATGGAGAAGAAAAGAGAGAGAGCAATTACTGGTCCTTTTATTCACGAAGAAGGAGAGGATGAATAGAAATGAAGGTGGCAACTGCTCTTAAGAAATGGATTTTTTTCAAATCACATAGGCAGAAAAATTAAACTGAAGGTGTACAAGTAACATTGGCCTGAGGTTAAGGACACTAAACAGATATTAGAATGAAAGTGATCTACCCGAATGAAAGTAATCTACCCGACCCACAGTCCAGTTTACCTGGGTGAGGAGGGGGCGATGGAGTCTTAGAGGCAGGATATCAAGGAATTTGGGGTAGAGGAAGGCCATGGTCCCACAGGATGTCAAAGAATCCAAGATATTTTCCAGCTGTATTTGTGTATGAAGAAGAAACTGACACAACCTTGGAACGCAGTCTCACGTGCAGAACACACACACAGGCTACAAAATACCAGCCTCAAGAAGTAACACCTGTTCTAGCCCAGTGCAGGCTGGTTGTGCGCACGTGTGGCCTTTCAAGGGAAGGGAGGGTCTTCTCCACAGCGTGGGGCCGGATGCACTCAGAACCCCCAGCAAGCACCACGATGCAAGGGCGCCATGCAAGAGTAGCCCTGCTAACTCACCAAAGAGCGAGGCCTTCGAGAAAGGTCGAGAAAAGGAACTGGAAGTGCAGCTGGAAGCTCTGGCTGCGAAAAGACAGAACAGTCTTTTCCACAAGGCAGGACAGTCTCAAGTCATTTGCCAGAGAGACTCCTCGAAAAAAGAGGCAGCATGCTGAGTCGGAAAGGGCCTTTGTGGGTGGGGGGAGAGATAGACGGAGGACCCCCTTAGAAGGCAATGTTTTCACTAATAATCATTTCCGTGCCAGCAGACTGTGCCAGAGAAATTGGTCTCTTGGCTGATTTTTAAATAACTCCACCTTCCTCTCCATATGGTTCTAGAATCCCAATCGCACCTGTGCGTGCTGAAAGGCCTGGGAAGTACAACAAGCCGCCCCGCACTGCGCAGGGCCGTCTCCCTGGTCCCCTCCTCTGGCATCTAGTCTCCCCGACCAACCTCTCCAGCTGGGCTGCATCCTCAGGCCACCCAGGCCTGTTCCTGCGATCATCCCCGCGCTCCCCAACTGTGCTACTCCCGCAACCCAATCTCGGGGCCAGGCAGGCAGCTAAACCAGACTCCCACCCTTGAGTCACGGTGGTCCTCACCGACTATCCCCAAACCCCATCCCCTTGACCAGCGAAACGCGCCAGGGCCGGCAGAGGCTGTGAGCTGCCCGCGAGGAGCGCTCCACCTGGAGTCCCAAAAGTGCACGGAGAAGTGACAACTCCCAAGTGCGGGCGACCCCCGAGGCCCCCTCCCGCCCTTGCCCCCCGCTGGGCGGGCCGGCCACTACCTCCTGGAAGAGTTCCAGACTGTAGGTGTTGTCGTCGTCGGCGAAGAAGAGCACGCCGGGCTGCGCGCGCT